ATATATATATATATATATATATATATATATATATATATATATATAATTCAATTTGTTTTGGTTGTCTAGATATATAAAGTGCTCAATACTAAAAGTATAGCAGAGCTTATTAGATTGTCTATATCTTAAAATTAAATATCGCATTATAAATATTAATATATATATATTATATTAATATTATATCGCATTATTAAATATCGCATTATCGCATATAGCGATATTTAATTTTAAGATATAGACAATCTATATATATATATATATATATATATATATATATATATGCACTCGTTATACTACAACAAAATTTTTTTGTGCAGTGCTATATATGAGAGTTAAAATGTCAAATTTGAGAATCATTGCGTCTTGGGCATCGTCATTGGTCAACTTCGTGCCACTGGTGCAGTTCTTTGGGTCGATTTTTCTTGACACTTTCCCAATAAACAGAACTATAAAATGAGACAAATAAAATTTATTTACTATACACAATTGTAATATATAGTATCTCAAACGTGGTGGCCCAGTGTAGGTAGTATTCTACAATAAGCTGCCGTGGTTTGTGTCTGAACTACCTGAAAAAGATATCTCAAACGTGATGGTCCAGTGTAGGTAGTATTCTACAATAAGATGTCGTGGTTTGTGCCTGAACTACCTGAAAAAAGATATCTTAAACATGCTGGTACAGTGTAGGTAGCATTCTACAATAAGCTGTCGTGGTTTGTGTTTGAACTACCTGAAAAAAAATATCTTAAACGTGGTGATCCAGTGTAGGTAGTATTCTACAATAAGCTGTCGTGCTTTGTGTCTGAAACCCTGAACTATCTTAGCACTTGTGGAAAGGGGCTTATTGTAATGAAAATACTACGTTCACTGCGCTGATATGTTTGAGATATATTTTTTTAGTTCAGTACATAGTATACAAGCATTTTAAGGCTCGTAGTTCATAAGAAAAGAAAATTAGCGTATACCTTGTTTTCACCACATTCGGTTCCGTCGAGAGCAGGAGAGCCAGATGTCCTGGTGAGAAATGACCATCTACCTGGCATTCTGCATCTTAATTTTGCACATGGTTCTCCAGGCTTGAAATATAAGACATTCGGACGTTAGTTTAATCATGGTCTGATTGTGTAATATGATAGGTATCACGTGAGCAACATACCTCCCATCGTGACGGTTTCCATGCTGTGTACGTGGCATTGAATTCCAACTCGCATTGTTTTTCAAACGAGAAATACTCGCCAGGATACGGATAGTTATTTTCCGCGCTTGCTTCATTACCAAGACAATAATCGTACTTTCTATAAAACGAAATGAAAACATCAAAACTTGTTTTAGAGAACTGATAGAACTATACAGTATAAATAAAGTTAGTTTAGTTTAGGTTTCCTCCTGTAGAAAAAATGGATCAATAAGAGATGACCATCACTGGACCTCTAGGAAGAACAGTTTAGAACTGATAGAGCTATCCAGTATAAATAAAGTTATTTTAGTTTAGGTTTTCTCCTGTAGTAACACTGGATCAATCAAAGATGATCCTTACTGGACCTCTAGGAAGAACAGTTTAGAACTGATACAGCTATCCAGTATAAATAAAGTTAATTTAGTTTAGATTTCCTCCTGTAGTAACACTGGATCAATAAGAGATGATCCTTACTGGACCTCTAGGAAGAACAGTTTAGAACTGATAGAACTATCCAGTATAAATAAAGTTAGTTTAGTTTAGGTTTCTTCCTGTAGTAACACTGGATCAATAAGAGATGATCCTTACTGGACCTCTAGGAAGAATAGTTTAGAACTGATAGAGCTATCCAGTATAAATAAAGTTAGTTTAGTTTAGGTTTCCTCCTGTAGTAACACTGGATCAATAAGAGATGGCTCTAACTGGACCTCTAGGAAGAACAACTGTTAAAACTGATAAAGCTATCCACAACTTACGCAAAGCTATAAATAAAACTAGTTTTGGTTAGGTTTGTTAGGATTCTGCGGTTTAAAATGGTCCTTCATGCAGTCTAAAATACCTTTGATGATCCCATACTAGAGCTTTAGGAAAATCTATTACAATGTCCCACCTTATATTGCTGAGCATTGTCCGCTGACTTTCGGTTGACCAGCGGTGACTGTTGAAGAGAGAGTCCACGATACCGTTCATAATGTAACGCGAATATTGCGGGAAATTTCCATCTAATAAACCAAGCCTAAATTAACAACAGTTGCATAAACTTATTATACACTATGCTCTATCGTTTCAACTATATATATTTAATGTGTATTAGTGTTTGGTTGTATGGTGCTACTCCTCCTGTAGTAACACTGCAGCAGTAAGGAATGACCCTTCTTGGTAATAATCTTGAAAAACTATGAACTGATAGAAGTAACTTACGAGTGACCAATTTCATGTGCAACCATATATGCTGCATGGAATCCATGATCAAACACGATGGAACAACTGCTATAACGACTGCACATTGTCTCACGTCTTGCAAAACCTAAAAATACAGGAACTTTTTGTTAGATGAATCTCATTTCCTTCATTTCTGCGGCTGAACTAAGAAATACGCAATAAACAATATGGCGTATCACCGAAGAAGCTGTGTTATTATTTGTATATACTAGGTTTTTTAATGTTTTAACTTAGGTCCTTTATTTCTATTGCAATCAAGACTGTGTTGAAAGAATAAGACAGGTAATATGTCGATAAAAACCAGAAATTTATTTTGGTGTAATGGTTTGAATTTTATCGGGGTTTTTTTCGTAAATAGTTGAAAGGTTCCTACCTGCTGCTCCAAATTGATTCCTGTAAAAAATAATAAAATATTTGAATTAATTCATTGTCTTCTCGTCAGTTTAATACCATCGGTTAAAGCACATTTATACAACATTGTGGAACAAGAGATCACAAGATCTTACCTTGTCAGGAATAATTTATGATCAAATTTTTTGGAACCAATAACCTTTTCTTGTTTATTCATGACATCACATGCAGTGTAAAGATTATCGCGTTTCTTAGAGATATCAAACTTTACTTCATGCTGAAAAAAGTAGTTATAAATTATTATAAATTTAGTGCTAAACTACTACTTCCTACAGTCCAGTAAGAATCATCTCTTATTGATCCAGTGTTACTACAGGAGGAAACCTAAACTAAACTAACTTTATTTATACTGGATAGCTCTATCAGTTCTAAACTGTTCTTCCTAGAGGTCCAGTAAGGATCATCTCTTATTGATCCAGTGTTACTACAGGAGGAACCTAAACTAAACTAACTTTATTTATACTGGATAGCTTCCATCAGTTCTAAACTGTTCTTCCTAGCAGTCCAGTAAGGATAATTTCTTATTGATCCAGTGTTACTACAAGAGGAAACCTACACTAAACTAACTTTATTTATACTGGATAGCTCTATCAGTTCTGAACTGTTCTTCCTAGAGGTCCAGTAAGGATCATCTCTTATTGATCCAGTGTTACTACAGGAGGAAACCTAAACTAAACCAACTTTATTTATACTGGATAGCTCTATCAGTTCTAAACTGTTCTTCCTAGAGGTCCAGTAAGGATCATCTCTTATTGATCCAGTGTTACTACAGGAGGAAACCTAAACTAAACTAATTTTATTTATACTGGATAGCTCTATCAGTTCTAAACTGTTCTTCCTAGAGATCCAGTAAGGATCATCTCTTATTGATCCAGTGTTACTACAGGAGGAAACCTAAACTAAACTAACTTTATTTATACTGGATAGCTCTATCAGTTCTAAACTGTTCTTCCTAGAGAGCCAGCAAGGACCATCTCTTTTTGATCCAGTGTTACTACAGCAGTACAGGAGGAATTTGGAGTACCTAAACAAAAGCTGTGTTGCTTAAATATGCAATTGATTTACGCATACCTTTAGAATCACTATTTCCGAAGGAACTATATCAATTTTGAGTCCATGCTGGGTTAAAGATTCGTGTTTATATGCATTTGAAGACTAAAAATAAAAAGAAGAGAAACGTTTGCTAAGACGTTTAAGAGTATCTAAGATCAAAAACATCACAAGGGAGACGAAGTATAAGAAGGCGTGATGAAGAGGATTATGGAAAATGATGCAAGAGCTTTCATACCGAAGAATGTTCATTGACTTACCAACATGAGTAAGACTTCAACATATTTTTCAGCTTCACTGTCGCTATCAAACTGATCTCGCACAGTTTTATCCAAGACTACTAACGTCTCTATGTACGCTTTTATATCCGTGTTTCTTTGACCTGAAAAAGACGAAAGACGAAATTAATATAGGACAAAGAATTGAAAGTTTTTTATGTTGTTTTTGTGTTGTGTTTTTATGCCATTAATAGCAGTTTAGTCCCATTTTGTTATATATGAGTGAATTGATAACTCACATGCCTAGTTACCACTGTTCTGATAATGTAAGCATAGAATGGAACAAAGGTAACCAAGCATTTAAATTATACATGTGTCTGTGAATTGGATGCAATATGACTTGAAGTAATACTGAAAATAAAACAGATAATCTTCTAACCTTTTCGTTTTATGATACAGACAGCTCTGGTGTCTTTTGTGTTGACTTTAGGTCTGTATTTCTTTTTACTATTTATCACAAAAACTTCATTCGTTTCCGCGTCCGTTGCTCTCCACTTGTCGCTAACAAACGTATTTATTTGAATTGTTTTATGCGCTCCAAGTTGTACAAATTTTTGCCACTGTTTTCCACGGCGCCCCCACAACTGTCAAGATATTTGCAAATATTTTGTTACTATTATTTAGTACAACCATTCATTGTTGGGAAAGTATTAAGGTACAGCTAGGGGAATCCGTATGAAAAGTTTTCCTGTTTCATTTGCCATACGCGAGCTCGTAGGATTATCTCCGTTCAGTTTCGATGTGCGTAAATGCGCACACGCCGAAATTACACGTATTGCGTTTTTGGTCGTTTATATTGCGTTCATTTTTGGCTTATCTCATAGTGAGACTGTGATTACAAGTAAATTGTACAAAAATTTAGAGCATACCTTTCATTAATGGTGTGTTTCATTAAGCGTGAGTTAACAGCGAATGCTGGGGTTAGCTAATCCAGCTTTGAATGGCTTGAGTATACAGTAACTCTCCGAGATAACTCTCTTTTAGCCGGTCAGTCATTTGAACGCTTTGAACATTAATTCGGCCTTCTGTTCGCGCCGTTTGGTAAACGAAACCCATCTACGCAGTCGGCAGTATTCCTATGGGGGCAACTATGGCTTTCAGGGACGTGAAATGATAACCATTTTTGTAAAATACAGTCAATTTAGATCCAATTCGTTTGCGAATTAGCTTTAGAAAACGCCAGAAACGCGCAATGCAAACACCAGAAATGCGCAATGCAGTGGCCTGGGGGAGGATCCCCCCCTTTTTTTTCGGAAACTTATCGACAGTGGAAGTCAATATTATAATTATTATACTTCAGGTAAATTTTTAACATTGAAGTTCAAATTTTAGGTAAAATCCTCCGCCCCCAACTTCAGATGCTTCGCTACGTCTCTGATGGCTCAGCTTTACTTTGATTTATTTTGATACCTGAACTGTGCGTCCACTCCTGTTGTCAAAAAAGAGATAGCTACTTTTTGATGAACGTCGCGCTCTACTGTGAACATCGCTCGTCGTATCTAAAACAACAAACATCAGTTTAAACATCGGTTAAAAAAGTTTTGCCTTTTGGAATCGTACTAATATTTGTTTTCCCTAGTGCAAAATAATAATCGTTCATCTCATAAGGTGTTTATAATCTAAGATGAAACTGGCTTAAAATTTTCGCTAAACTTGATTTTGAAATGATGAATTCAATATTCATGCTAACGCAATTCATGCAAAAATGAACGCGCAATCGCGCACGATATCAAATGCGTCGTGATCTTTCTCACCTTGTGATAACCTTGAACTCAGCAACGCTTCTCTTTTAATCTGAATAAGGGAAATTTCTGTTAGGTAATGACACAACGCTTTCTTATACGTTTGCTCGTGAACAGACGAAAGTAGTACATTGAGTGCATACATGTACCTTCAAAAGCTTGTCCACGGAACCTTGTACAGAATAGATTACACACACAGCAAACAGCAATGTTACCAAACGATTCATCATGACTTCTTCTGTGTGTGTGTTTAAGCTGACTTCTCTTGCGTTCTCAAACCTGTGGAGCTACGGATCTATCGTGCGGCCTTATATATATCGCGCAGATCTATTCTTTTCTTTGGTTGTTTTAATACGGTATTTTGTTTCCGGAATACGCTGGAATTTTAATCATCTTACAAAATTAACGGGCGTTGAATTAATTATAAGTCCCTCGATAGCCGATAGGATATGGTATCAAGTCATTGGTGACGTCACAAGTCAAGAGTGACGTCACATCAATAGGAAGATAATGGAATTATATCATTTCGTGTTCTTTGTTTTTATCGTCAGGCATTTTCGCTGGTGCATTCGGATTGTTTCCTTCTTGTAGTTCATCTGGATCGTTTGCTTTTTGTAGATCATTTGGATCATTTGCTTTTGTAGATCATTTGCTTTTTGTGGATCATTTGGATCATTTGCTTTTTGTAGATCATTTGGATCATTTGCTTTTTGTAGATCATTTGGATCATTTGCTTTTGTAGTTCATTTGGATCATTTGCTTTTGTAGATCATTTGCTTTTTGTGGATCATTTGGCGGGAAAATCATTATTTGCCAAACACCTCTAGCCGGATAATTAAACTTGTCAATTTGCTAAGATGAACAAATGTAGGAAAAAAGAACAAATGTTATATATTAAGAACGTGTGTTATTTGACATATTGCACCTTATCAGGTTTATAAAAGCATCGATAATGCAATGTTTTGATAAGAAAACATGATATTGTACATGATACATGTACTGAACGTAAGGCATGAAATTTAATAGAGTTAAGATTGCTAAGACGGCGTTTACAAGGAGGGACCAGACGAATTTGGAGTTTGACCATTGGTCGAGGGTGGAGGGTAATAGGTCGAGGGCAAGGGTAGAAAGTCGAGGGCAAAAAGAAGTGAGTCGTGAAAATATGGGGAGGACATTTGATCCCCAATGTCAATGTTTTTGCCGTGTTATTGAATTTGCCATGCCGCAGGGAATAAAAAAAGTTTGGAAGCCGATGTATACTAATCGATAAACCGTATATGAATTATTAATGAGCTTTTGAAGTCTATTATGAATACACCTACAAGAAAGTAACTGTTTGTTAATTCACTTCCAAACGCGAAAAAGTACAAGAGATGGTACAAGAAATGAGTAGAGAAAAATAGTTTCCTTTTTAAAAATAATCACTTTGTCTATTTGAACACGACAGAAAGGATTAAAACGAAAGGGGCCGTGCGTACAGGAAACATAATGAATGAATGAATGAATGAATGAATGAATGAATGAATAGGATTTATCAAAGCCTGAAGCTGAAGCGAGATTTTAAAGATGGCGGCTTATATAGTCATGATCGATTAAATGAACAACCAGACACTTGTAATATAAACCTTGCCCTAAACTTTAAGTACATACGTAGGAGTGTAAAACACACGTGTTTTATTATATTTAAAATGCGAGTGCACTGCTACAAGTGTTTTGAATAGCTTCAAACACGTCTACAAATTAGGATGGACTTTTATATAAAGTATACTAATAAAGACTGAGTTTTATCAGGTATAAAGCATCTTACTTCACGTAACATATTATGGTTGACATCATGATTTGAAACCTAACTAAAAGATTAAAACATAATATGACGTTGTTGATAGGACACGATATTCTTTTGTTTTCTTGTTTATACTAAGATAATCACGTTTTAAAAATTTCGACTTCCTGTCACCAATTCAAATCTCATTCACTTTGCGCCACAGTATTAGGGCGGATTGTAATCCTTTATTTGTCTTTGAGTTTAAGAAATTTCACGAAATTTCGTTGGAAAGGAAAAAAAAAGTATTATGTCATGAAATAACAAAGTCAGAGAGTATAAGAAGTTAAGAAGTTCATGGAAAAAAGCGAGGAAAAAAATGGATTTTAAAGATGCAGGCGGCTTATATAGTCATGATCAATTGCATGAATGAACAACCAGATACTTGTAATAATCCTAAACTTTACCCAGAGCGCGCGCCTTTCACTTCTGATATCGTGGGTTCAAATCCAGTTGGGAACGACTGATGATAGCCGTGTGAAAAGAGTCTGCATGTCAACGCTCTGCCGAAAGTCGTGGGTTTTGTCCTCCGTCGAAGCACTCGATCCACGGAGTTTCCACTCGATCACGTTGATCTGTTTCCTTCGCAATTCAGCTTAGTTAGCAGCTGCAAGTAAGGATAATAAACACACCCCTATACTTACTTACCAAACTTTAAGCGTTTCTAAAAGATTAAAACATAATATGACGTTGTTTCTAGGACATGATTTCTTCTGTTTTCTTGTTACACTATAATGATCACGTTTTAAATATTTCGACTTCCTGTCACTAATTCAAATCTCATTCACTTTGCACCACAGTATTAGGACGGATTGTAATTCTTTATTTATCTTTGAGTTTAAGAAATTTCACGAAATTTCGTTGAAAAGGCAAAACAAATAGTATTACGTCATGAAATAACAACGTCAGAGAGTATAAGAAGTTAAGAAGTTCACGGAAAAAGCGAGGAAAAAAAGAATTAGGTAAACAGATATGATGTAAACGCAGAATAATTTCTAGTTGAAATTTTCTCTAGAAGTCTGCATCTCTGGTTTGGAAGTTGAAAGGGCGCGTGAGAATGCGGACGGCAGGAATTTTAGTCCATTTGTAAATCCCAAATAAAAACTCCTTTTAGAGGCAGAATTGGAGAAAGTCTTCGGTTGGTCCAGCTTTACTTCCACATTAAGTCTGGATGAAACGAGAGTGCGTGAGAGTGATTGGCAGTCCTGCGATCTTGGTCTGCTGTTCTTAATGCTTTCCCAACATCATCATGTATTCTATTTAAGTTAAAACATAGTTGGAACACTAATTAAACCTTTATTTTGTTAATCTAGAGCTTGAAATGTCCCCTGTAACAATGCGTGCCAATTAGTCTCATCAACTCTCATCCTGGTTTGACCGGGACTTTAGTTCTGCCGATAAAATTTGGCAAAAGCTTGAGCTTCAGATAAAACTCACCGATAAACAATGGACACTTCCTGGATTTGCCTGAGTGCAAATGGAATAATATTATGCTAGCCTCGAACTTCATAGCATTGGCATTTGTCCCATCTATCTATAAGCTACTGCTAAGTAGTAAGTTCCTTCTTGTATAGATTCCTTGTTTTGTGGGAAATCAACAACATTTATTTTTTGGCAAAGTTTTCACTTCTTAAGCGTGGATCTATTATTTACATTGACGAAGATCCGCACTCACAGATCAAAAATATATGTTGCCAAAGAAATGAACTTAGTGCTTTCCATGGCTACGGAACAAGGATAACATGTTGGGGGCACAGACAAACAAATTGAAGGCACAAACAACAGGACTAATAAAGTCCCAAATTAAGTCCTGCCATACATGAAAATACCACGCTATACTATGCTATGCTATACTATAAACTGTTATAAAATTAACAAAATAATCATAGATAGTTACATATTTACGGTATTACACATAGTTACATTCGTACAAAAACTCAGAACATGCACTTCTACGAACAACAAGACATAAAACAAAGCAACAAGACATAAAACAAACACTCTTTTAAACTGCAATTTATTTCAAACGCAGTGATCTACAAGAACTAAAAACAGTATTTAAAAATTATTTTATTTTATTACTAGTATTTAAAAATTATTTTGTTTGTAAACTATAAAAAAAAGGAATCGTTCATCTTTGACTTTGGCCTTCTTTCATTGCTTCAATGTTATTTTGTCTTCGTCCGACATTTTCCAGCCATACACCACTAAAATACAAGAAATAAAAGTCACTGTAGACTTTGAAGACAATAGCGAGCTTAAGCATGCAGGACGGCAACACCACGACGACGGCCAAAACAAATTCCTTCAAATAAATGATAGTAAAGAAAGCTTGTCGTATATTATAATTCGTATGAATTTAACACAGTATAAGAAGTTGAAAACATTGGCTTTATGTTTGGGAAGAGTTCTACTGAACCGAATTTTAAGTTGCACTTGTTACGTCTTGAAATGCAGGCGTTGTACAAAGGACGTGAAAATCTGTGATATAAAAAAATCTCCGTTGTAAACAGAGCGACGACTACGTCTGAAACTCCCCTGGTACTTTAATTATTTATTTCTTTTCATTGACTCATTGTATTGGTTGCCGTCGTCGTCGTGTTGACGTTCTACATGCTTAAGCTCCCTATTGACTGTCTGTGCGAAAAAATTGAGATGGGTAGAGGGATTCGACACATGAAAAATACAAGCAAAACCTCGACGTTACGAGCGAAGACACTTCCTAGACGTTTTACTTTTCATGCAGTCGAATCTCTTCCCATCTACACGTTTTTGAAGACATTAAATATTTTAATAAAGGGGAAAATATGTTAGACTATATTTTCAATGTGATGAGAGTGAATGTTTTTATTCAAAAATGATTCAACAAAAACAAACGGTACCTTGTTCACACCACATTTGGTTCCGTCCAACGGCCGTTGCGATATCTTGCACAAATTTGGGTATCTAGGTATCTCACATCGCAACTGTAGACATTTATCTCCCTGATCAAAAGAATTGATGGGTTTATATGGAAGTGTAAATACGCCAATAGTGTTTGAAAGGAGGGGGAGTGTGAGGAGGAGTTCAGGAGGGGCAGCGAGGAGAGACGTGGAGGGAGGAGGAGGGGGGAGAAGTGGGGGGGGGGCAGGGGAAGCTAGGAAGGGTGCTAGGAAGAACACTTTAAAGTTAGTTCCTCAGCCTTCTTTCAACACGATTTAGTTTTGGAGTAAGATATACTATTTAAACCTACCTTAAACTGGCGGCACAGGTTTTTTGTTGCTGCGAATTCCAACTGACATTGCTCGAGCAGAGAGAAATGTATGCCGGGATACGCACGTGATTGCATTGTCATAGTGGGTTTATTATTGAGACAACCAAATCGTCTGCAAAGATGAAAAACGAATCAACCATCACCCTTCTACTTTGTGTAAACTTGTTCGAACGCTAACGAGTTAAATTAGTTAACCTCCTTTAGCAACACTGGATCAACAAGAAGAGATGATCCTTACTGGACCTCTAGGGAGAACAGTTTAGAACTGATAGAGCTATCCAGTATAAATAAAGTTAAGCCCCGTTTACACTACGTTTGATTTTTGGTACCGTACCACTTTTTTGGTTCTTGGATTGCCTAATTAGGTAGTCCAAGAACCAAAACAGTGGTACGGGTACCAGTTTTATCCGTGCCGTACCAAAAATTGAGCGTAGTGTAAACGGGGCTTTAGTTTAGTTTAGTTTAGTTTAGTTTAGTTTAGGTTTCCTCCTGTAGTAACACTGGATCAATAAGAGATGATCCTTACTGGACCTCTAGGAAGAACAGATTAGAACTGATAGAGCTATCCAGTATAAATAAAGTTAGTTTAGTTTAGGTTTCCTCCTGTAGTAACACTGGATCATTACGTGGTGGCCCTCATAGAACTTCTAAAGATCTAGAACTGGTAGAGCCATCTTTCCTCCTGTGGACCAACAAGAGCTTACTACACTTCTAGGGAAAGCAGGTTAGAACTGATACTGCAGAATAAACTGATACGAAGTAAGTTCTGAACAAACTATCTTTTCGGTCTTTCCTAAAGTTCGTTCAGTACGATCATCTGTCTCCATATAAATGAAGCCATTTATCCTACCTGACATTGCGAAGTAGTGAACGTTGAGTTCGTGTCGACCATGAGTAATGATGTTGTGAACGCGAACGGGGCGACATGATTCTTAGGGCAGACGGGGCGAAGTTGCCGTTTCTCGCACCAAGCCTTAAAGTGGAAACAATTGCCTCAAAAGTGCGTAAAAACATTGGAACATTTTAGCGTACATTACGGCATATACTAGGTATGCACATAAATACGGTCAAGTATATTTTCTTGGTACATGTCTCAAATAACAGATAAGGAAATATGATAGAATTATTCCTTAAGATTCCCCCATAAAGTATGCGTGAAATTTTCCTCAGAATCCGGGAGATCTCAAACGCTTTCATTTAATAATTCATGAACAAAAGGTAGTGTGTCGTTGTATTGAAACTAAATAAAACTTTCGCGTTAGATTTACTATGGTGATCTTCAAACATCTCAAAGTGTTTCAATACATGCAAACCCCCACCATTCCTATTTAAGAATCTCGGAATCAAATAATCAACCATTATGTTTTAATTGTATTCAACTTACGAGTGGGCAATTTCATGTGCAACCGTAATTGCTGAAGGGAAGCCTTTAGCAAGCACCATGGAACAACTACCGTACCGTCGGCACATAGTGCCAACCATTCCTGCACCTGAAGTTGAGAAATGAGATTAATCTTCATAGAACCATTGCTAGAGAGGGAGGGAGGAAGGAGGGAAGAAGGGATGGAAGAAAGAGAGAGAGAGAGAGGGAGGAGAAGGAAGAAAGGAATGGATGGAAGGAAGGAGAGAGGTAGGAAGGAAGGAGAGGGGAATGGAGGATAGAGGGCGGAAGGGATAAGGGAAGAGGGAGGGAGGAGGGAATGAAGAAAAATGGATGAATTGAAGGGGAAAAGAAGAGGCAAGGAAAAAGGGAAGGAAACCTACAAAAAGAAGAAGAAAGTTACCTCTAACGCCAAAATTATTCCTAAAATAACAAAAAATAGTAAAAGAGGATATTAATTAAATTAAATTAATATAAGTAGCCTCTAAATGTACGTAACTCAGATACCACACATTTCCTCTTACCTTGTAAGGAATAAATTGTGATCATATCTTATGGAACCATTGTTTGCCATTCTATTCATTAACAAGCAAACACGTTTCACATTATTTTCTTTAAGAGATGGATCCAACTTTATTTCACTCTGAAAAAAGAATTTAGTTTGCTTTATTAAGTACTGTTTAAAACACGAGTAGGAGTGTTTTATCAGGTATAAAACGCGAGGCGCAGTCGAGCGTTTTATATCTGATAAAACACGAGTGTTTTGAATAGCTTAAAATACGACTACAAAAGAATACTAATTAGGTTGAACAATTATATAAAGAATACTAATGAACGTGAGTTTTATCAGATATAAAGTCACTCCACGTGGCATATTATGGCTGACATGATTTGCCACAAGGTTTATGAATTATTAATGAGTATTTTAAGGATTATTAGAGCGTGTCACTACATAAGAGGAAACGAATCGAAAGACTTCGGTGTTTGGTAGAGTTCTAGTTTTCAAACTTGTTAATAATGATTTTTGTATATCACCTGAAGCAGTTCTATCTTGGAAACAACTAAGTGGATTTTGACTCCGTGTTGAGACAACGATTGATGTTTATACACATCGGAAGCCTAGTTCAAAAAGAGAAAAATACAGTTATATATTATGTTTGTATCGCGGTGAAAAAATAAAAATAACAGTGTTTTTTCACTCACCAAGTCCATCATAGTTTGAACATATTTCTCGAGTTTACTTTTCTTGGTAAACATATCTTGTACGCTTTTATCGATGATTATTAACGTCTCTACAAATTTTTCTCCGATATCTGTGTTATTTTGACCTGTTGTGGTTTTAATAAACGAAAAAAAAAGTATGTTAACGGTTACTTATACTGGGTGGTTGTATTTTTTCTGAACTATCATTCCTTTAAGTACAGTTAGCGTAGAGTCAACATCCAGTATTTCTACAAGAGGAAATCTAAACTAAACTCTAAAAGTCTAATAGTCATCCCTCAATTATCCACTGCCACTATAGGATGAACTAAACTAGCTTTGTTTCTACTAATAGTTTTATAAAACAGTTCAACCGATCTCACCTGGTCGTTTTATGATCAAAATAGCTCTTTCTTCTTTCGTGTTGGCTTTTTGTATGTACGCTAATTTGTCGTTAATCATCAGAGAATTCCCAGTTCCTGGGTCAGTGACAGTCCATTCATGCTGCTCATGCGTATTTATTAAGCTCACCGCTCCTGCTTTCAACAGAGTAAATTGATTTTTTGTTTTGTTTAAATTTCTGATGTGGCGCCACCATAACTGCAAAGTTGGAAAATTAACGTAACCTCATTAAATATTCCTGCAGGAGGAAACCTAAACTAAACTAACTTTATTTATACTGGATAGTTCTATCAGTTCTAAACTGTTCGTCCTAGAGGTCCAGTAAGGATCATCTCTTATTGATCCAGTGTTACTACAGGAGGAAACCTAAACTAAACTAACCGTTTATTTATACCTGATGCCTGATGGCTCTATCAGTTCTAAACTGTTCTTCCTGTGTAGGTCCAGTAAAGATCATCTCTTATTGATCCAGTGTTACTACAGGAGGAAACCTAAACTAAACTAACTTTATTTATACTGGCTAGCTCTATCAGTTCTGAACTGTTCTTCCTAGAGGTCCAGTAAGGATCATCTCTTATTGATCCAGTGTTACTACAGGAGGAAACCTAAACTAAACTAACTTCATTTATACTGGATAGCTCTATCAGTTCTAAACTGTTCTTCCTAGAGGTCCATGCAGTAAGGATCATCTCTTATTGATCCAGTGTTACTACAGGAGGAAACCTAAACTAAACTAACTTCATTTATACAGGATAGCTCTATCAGTTCTAAACTGTTCTTCCTAGAGGTCCATGCAGTAAGGATCATCTCTTATTGATCCAGTGTTACTACAGGAGGAAACCTAAACTAAACTAACCGTTTATTTATACCTGATGGCTCTATCAGTTCTAAACTGTTCTTCCTAGAGGTCCAGTAAGGATCATCTCTTATTGATCCAGTGTTACTACAGGAGGAAACTTAAACTAAACTAACCGTTTATTTATACCTGATGGCTTCAAACTCATTAATAATTCATGAGTAAATCAGCCACTACCATATTGCTTTATTTTGCTCACATGATAATACTGGATACGTGGTGAAATTAATTCAGTCCTTGGACTGGATCAGAATTAATTCCCCTCAATTTAAGTATTAATTTATTCGTATGAGAGGTCATTTCAAATCCTCCAATTCGGACTGGACTAGATTTCAAGTCCTAGACTGGACTTAAAATCTAGCCAATCCTCACAGTCGGATTTGAAATACTACTTGATCCAGTATAGTGGCAATACCAGTGCAGGCTGAAGTGACAACATTATCCTACGTCAATTGACTGAAAGATGCCATATGAAACAACCGCAGCGCCGCTATGAAATCCCTTATCTATTACCTGAGCAGTTCGGTTACTTCTGTTGTCAAAAAACACGAAGCTTTTCTTTGTCGATCTACGTTTTCGCGCGTGAATTTCATTGCTGAAATCTAAGAAGTTGTAACAAATAATATTCATCAGTGATATACAAATAACATTATATCTGCTTGCGGTGGACTCGGTGTAGCTCAAACACAACCTTGATGAAGACACTACATAGACTGGACTGAGTGTCGGAATGTTGGGTTGTGAGTGCAATTTGTCGGTAATGAAACATGCGTGTATGGTCTTACTCATTTTTGTTAAATTTGCGCACCTAATGATGCATAATAATCACTCATGGAAATGCAAACTATGACTTCTATCTCGACTTCTATAATTTAATCAAATGTTTCACGAGACATTTTACCTTGAACAGAGCTTTCACTTTTGACCTAGAAAAAAGTCGCTGTTAGTTGTTGCTTTGTAACGCAAGCAAGCGATTAGGTCTGATGTAACGGAAGTACAGAATACATGATAATGTATTTAGGACGCGTGAAATCCTCTACAATACAAGCGCATTATATAACGACCTATATACATGCTTTATTGCATCGGAGGCAGATACAGTTATTTTACTGATAGCTTCAGGTACTGCGGGCATTTGACGTTCATAAGTTCATCTGAAAGACTTCAAATGTCAAGCATCTTGTAGGTGGATCCAATGTAGGTCAAGCATCTTGTAGGTGGATCCAAAGGTCAAGCATCTTGTAGGTGGATCCAATAATTTTATCTATTGCTTTATGACAGTGCAAATTCAAATGTCCCGTATCGTGCCTGTGGCAGCGAGTGTAACGTAATATTGAAGAAAAGAAGAGTAGACTACCTTAAATATCTTGTCCACAGCTCTTTGCCCTTCCACAGCAGACCAGGCACAACTCGTTATCACTAGCATTACCAAGCAATTCATCTCCAGACACTTTCTTCAATAATGCTTCGTTTCTTTGCTGTGAATGCTTTCGACGTCGGAGGTCTTCAGTTGGTGAAGAGTTGTTGTGTCACGGAGATTTATATACGCTCTTCGATGTGGTAAATTCATCCGTATCACGTATGCTGATGATACTTAGATAAGGATTTATCATCGCAATGTAGGAAGTTTTTTTCTCTTTAGCCGGAATAAACAATAACCTGTCGTGGTTTAGTTTATTTTTTTTACAGTTTTATTAGGAACTGATTAGTTTACAATAGTAACAATACACACACACAAGTAATAACAGACAGTTCCCAAACGGAAAAATTACTTCCCAATTTATCTCCACATTTACAAATTTAAATAGACAATCTAAAATCCCTGAAGGTGCGTTTATACGCTTCGAGCAGTGTAAATATTTAGGCTACTCTTTGTGTCTGACACTGTCCTGTACTACTTGAAAAACATATTTCAAACGTGCAGGTCCAGTTAAGGTATTTAATTCGAGTATACTGTATATTTACTTCAATGTTATATGATTAATTTTGGGTATTAGGTATTGAGTGTTCTGGCAGTTTTAGGTATTTTGTAACATTTTGACCGTATTGGTAGGTATTTTGATCCATATTTATCAGGTATATATGGTAAACACCCCCCCCCCCCTGGTTGACCCCTTCCAGTGTAAGTAGTATTCTACAATAAGCTGTCGTGGTTTGCATCTAAACTAGCTGAAGATATCCCTAAAGATATCTCATGCAAATGTGGTGGTCCAGTGTAACGATAGATTATTCAAGTCGGTGGTGGGTGACATTCAGTCCTTCACCATGCGTCGTCGCACGTGGAAAGAATTAAAATGCTTTTTAGTTGATTGATACAATTTACGTGGTAGTACCAGTGCTTCCTGCGTGGGACTTTCACCTTTGTGACGAAGGTTAATTACTCTATTTTTAGTTGTTTGATTAAAATTTCACTTCAGTGGCATGTGAGAAGGGTGCTTTGGTTTTCTTCGAGTACTGTTAACACTGGATCAATAAAATATGTCCTCCGGAGAGAACAGTTTGAAGCTGACATAGAGCTATCCAGTATAACTGTTTAGTTTAGGTTTCTTCACTTATACAACTGAGAAGCTGGACTATTTTTAGAAATTTTGTTTATTACAAATCTGGAATGTCTGATAATGAAGACCTGATGGAGATTTTACTGCATGTGTGATTTGTATTTTAATCATCTAAGAAAAGATGCAAAATGCTTCGACGTTGGAATACTACCTACACTGGACCACCACGTTTGAGATATCTTTTTCAAGTAGTTCACACACAAACCACGACAGCTTATTGTAGAATACTACCTACATTGAACCACCACGTTTGAGATGTTTGGTCACAAACCACGACAGTGGAAGAGATGGTCATGTAAAAAGGAATAACAAACTGGAAACAACATTCTTCTCACACGTGAAATTACAAACATAAGAGTGTGGACCCATAGCTTCCTCCATCTAATCCTCCCCCTCCATCCGTTCCTTCCCTCCTCCCTCTAGGGTACGTCTTTCAATTGGAAATTCAAACGTCAAACATTCAACTAAATTAATAACCATATATTTATATGAATCTTATAAAAAACAACAATGCAAATATACACAGTATATATATATACAATAGTTATACTTCAACAAAAATTTTGTACAGTGCTATATATGAGAGTTGGAGTGTCAAATTTGAGAATCATTGCGTCTTGGGCATCGTCATTGGTCAACGGAGTCTTCTTGTCACTGATGCGGTTCTCTGGGCTGGTTTTTCTTGACACTTTCCCAATAAACAGAACTATAAAATGAGACAAATAAAATGTTATTTACTATACACAACTGTAATATATAGTATCTTAAACGTGGTGGTCCAGTGTAGGCAGTATTCTACCATAAGCTATCGTGGTTTGTGTCTGAACTACCTGAAAAAGATATCTCATTTTAAGGTTCATAAGAAAAGAAATTAGGGTTATACCTTGTTCTCACCACATTCGGTTCCGTCGAGAGCAGGAGAGCCTGTTGTCCTGGTGAGAAATGACCATCTACCTGGCATTCTGCATCTTAATTTTGCACATGGTTCTCCGGGCTTGAAATATAAGACATTCTGACGTTAGTTTAATCATGGTCTGATTGTGTAATATGATAGGTATCACGTGAGCAACATACCTCCCATCGTGACGGTTTCCATGCGGTGTACGTGGCATTGAATTCCAAGTCACATTGTTTTTCAAACGAGAAATGCTCGCCAGGATACGGATAGTTATTTGCCGCGCTTGCTTCATTACCAAGACAATAATCGTACTTTCTATAAAACGAAATGAAAACATCAAAACTTGTTTTAGAGAACTGATAGAGTTGTCAAGTATAATTCATGTATAACTGATGCAGAGCTATAAATAAAACTAGTTTTAGTTAGGTTTGCTAAGATTCTGCATACGATTTGAAGTCCTTCAGTCTAAAATGAAGTGGTCCTTCAATTTTTGATGATCCTATACTAGAGCTTTAGGAAAATCTATCGCAATGTCGCACCTTATATTGCTGAGTAGTGTCTGCTGACTTTTGGTTGACCAGCGGTGACTGTTCAAGAGAGAGTCCACGAAGCCGTTCATAATGTAACGCGAATATTGCGGGAAATCTCCATGAGATAAACCAAGCCTAAATTAACAACAGTTGCATAAACATATTATACACTATACTCTATCGTTTCAACCATATATATTTAATGGTGTATTAGTGTTTGGTGTCATGGTGCTACTCCTCCTGTAGTAACACTGCAGCGGTAAAGAATGACCCTTCTTGGTCCTCTTAATGGAGAACAGTCAAGCACTGATGATAATCTTGAAAAACTATGAACTGATAGAAGGAACTTACGAGTGAGCAATTTCATGTGCAACCAAATATGCTGCATGGAATCCATGTTCAAACACGATCGAACAACTGCTATAACGACTGCACATTGCCTGACTTCTTGAAAAACCTGAAAATGCAGGAAATTTTTGTTAGAAAATTTGAACTAATGTCATTTACGACTGCCTTGGGCTTGACATTTGGAAATGAAAAAAGAAAGGAAAGAATATCTTGCAGTGTGTTTAAATGAAGTGCAATATTCCAATAACTCAACATCTCTCGTGCAGAGCGCTGTATGTTTTTGTTATAATGCTTCGAGGATAGAATCTGGTAATCGGAAACTAGGAAATACGCAATACACAATATGGCGTGTCACTGAAGAGGCTGTGTTATTATTTGTATATAGGTCTATTTTTTTAATGTTTTAACTTAGGTCCTTTATTTCTATTGCAATTAAAACTGTATTGAAAAATAGCAAGACAGACAAGATGTCGATCAAAACCAAGAATGTCTTTTGATGTAATGGTTTGAATTTTATCGGGTTTTATTTTCGTAAATAGTTGAAAGGTTCCTACCTGCTGCTCCAAATTGATTCCTGTAAAAAATAATAAATATTTAAATTAATTCGCTGTCTTCTCGTCAGTTTAATACCATCGGTTAAAGCACATTTATACAACATTGTGGAACAAGAGATCTCAAGATCTTACCTTGTCAGGAATAATTTATGATCAAACTTTTTGGAACCAATAACCTTTTCTTGTTTATTCATGACATCACATGCAGTGTAAAGATTGTTGCCTCTCTTAGAGATATCAAAATTTACTTCATTCTGAAAAAAATAGTTGAGGATAAATTATTATAAATTTAGTGCTAAACTAAACTGTTCTTTTTAGAGGTCCAGTATAAGGATCATCCCTTATTGATCCAGTGTTACCTAAATTGAACTAACTTTATTTATACTGGATACTAGCTCTATCACTATCAGTTCTAAACTGCTCTCCCTAGAGGTCCAGTAAGGATTATCTTAAACGTACCTAGACAAGGTACTGTTAGATATTCTTTGTTACTGTTACTATATTCAAATTAATTTAGACTTACCTTTAGAATCACTATTTTTGAAGGAATTATATCAATTTTGAGTCCATGCTGGGTTAAAGATTCGTGTTTATATGCATTTGAAGACTATTAAAAAGAAAAAAAAGAAAAACGTTTGCTAAGGCGTTTAAGAGCATTTAAGATGAAAAACTTCACGAGGAAAAAAGGATAAGAAGGCGTGATGGAGAAGATTATGGAAAAGATTGGATTGATTGAAAATGCTGCACGAGCTTTCATATAAAAAGAATGTTCATTGACTTACCAACATGAGTAAGACTTCAACATATTTTTCAGCTTCACTGTCGCTATCAAACTGATCTCGCACAGTTTTATCCAAGACCACTAACGTCTCTATGTACGCTTTTATATCCGTGTCTCTTTGACCTGAAAAAGACGCACGACGATATTAATATAGGACAAAGAAGTAAGCATATAGGGGGATTATAGGACGGAACAAAGGTAACCAAGCATTTAAATTATATATATGAGTGAATTGACAACTCACATGCCTAGTTATACCACTGTTCTGATAATGTAAGCATAGAATAGAGCAAAGGTAACCAAGCATTTAAATTATATATGTGGGTGAATTGGATTCAATATGATTTGAAATAATACTGAAAATAAAACAGATAATCTTCTAACCTTTTCGTTTTATGATACAGACAGCTCTGGTGTCTCTTGTGTTGGTTTTAGGTCTGTATTTCTTTCTACCATTTATCACAAAAACTTCATTCGTTTCCACGTCCGTTGCTCTCCACTTGTCGCTAACAAACGTATTTATTTCAATTGTTTTATGCGCTCCAAGTTGTATAAATTTTTGCCACTGTTTTCCACGCCACCATAACTGTAAAGATATTTGCAAATATTTTGTTACTATTATTTATTACAACCATTCCATTGTTGGGAAAGTATTAAGGTACAGCTAGGAGAAATCCGTATGAAAAGTTTTCCCCCTTCATTTGCCATACGCGAGCTCCTACGCGATGATCTCTGCTCGAATCCGTCCAGTTTCAATGTGCGTAAAACGCGCGCAGGCCGAAATCGTTTATATTGCGTTCATTTTTGGCCGTCTCATAGTGAGACTGTAATTACAAATTTAGATAATACCTTTCATTAATAGTGGCATGGTGTGTTTCATTAGCGTTAGTTGACAGCAGGATGCTGGGTTTATAGCGCTAATCCATGCTTTGCCCATGGCGACTGAAACCCATCTACGTAGTCAGCATTATTTCTATGCAGGGAGGCGACTATGGCTTTACTTTGATTTATTTTTTTACCTGAACTGTTCGTCCACTCCTGTTGTCAAAAAAGAGATAGCTACTACTTCTTGATGAACGTCGCGCTCTACTGTGAACATCGCTCGTCGTTTCTAAAACAACAAACATGCATATTTAGATTAACCAGTTTAATTAATGTTTTTACTCAAAACCGGTTAAAAAAACGTTTTGGAATCATAATATTTATTTTACCCTTACCCAGTGAAAAATAATCCTTAATCTCAAGGTGTTTATAAACTATAATTCCGGATGAAAGCTTGCCAAAATTTTCGCTAAACTTGAAATTGTCAATTCAGTAGGCTATTCATGACTTACGCAATTCATGCAAAATTAACGCGCAATCGCGCACGATATCAAATGCGTCGTGATCTTTCTCACCTTGTGATAACCTTGAACTCAGCGACGCTTCTCTTTTAATCTGAAAAAGGGAAATGTCTGTTAGTTAATGACACCATCTTAGAAGAATATAACTAAAAATATAAATGTTAAAATATCTCTTCTAATAAAGACAAACACCTTCCACATAAATAGATTACGACACTGTTGAAAGGGCATGCTCACGAATCGACAGCATTGAAATAAACCTCATTGGCTTTAATATGTATGACTTCGCCACGTTTTCAATAAATCAAAACGAACTTCCTGCAAAGATTCTATATACAAATGGTGAATGTCTTTTCACGAGAGTCCGGAAACGTATTAATTCATATAAACCACAATTATTCCGCTGGTAGGGTAATAGTCCCAACAAACACCATTTCATTGACTTAGTTTATTAACTATGGTTTATCGAGGTTTATTACGACACAATGAAGACAACGATACGGTACCGGCCCGTACCGCGTTCCTATATGTTTGCTCATAAACAGATGAAAATAATATTTACATTGAGTGCATATACCTTGTCCACGGAACCTTGTACAGAATAGATTACACACACAGCAAACAGCAATATTACCAAACGATTCATCGTCACTTCTTCTGTCTCCTGTGTGTGTGTTCGAGTTGACTCTCTGACGTTCTCAAACTTGTGAAGTGACGGATCTCGCGTGCGGCCTTATATACGCGCAGATCTATTGTTTTCTTTAGTCTTGATCGCATCCTGTTTCTGAATTCCGGCGGACGCTGGAATCATCTTTCAAATTCAAATTGGCGGGCGATGAATCACTCAACAGGACAGGATGTGGTGGGAAAGGCGACTTATAGGCGAGGAAGTTTAGCGTTTTCTCAGTTTTACGTAGTTTAGACATTGTACATTACTGCCCCACACTGGAGCAACAAGTTTGAGATATCTTTTACATATAGTTTAGACACAATTAAAGCAGAGCAGTTTGCTGTAGAATATACGTGAGATATACAGGTGTATAGTTCAGATACAAGCCCCGACAACGATGGAATCCCAGGGGCCAGGATGATCAGATAGTGTCGCCTCAGACATTTTTAATGCACCCACCTTCACTGATCGTGTCTGGTAATGACTTGATTCAATTGTACTCTTACGGCATGAATATATTATTTGCCAAACACCTCTAGCCGGATAATTCAACAAATGTACGAAAAAAGAACAAATATTCAGATATATTAAGAATGTGTGTAGTTTGACATATTGCACAGCTGGTCAGGTTATAAAAGCATCGATAATGCAATGTTTTGATAAAAAACATGATATCGTTTCGGGAACTTTACTGACTGATATAATGGGAAGTTTTGATTCGATTAGAAAAACTTATGTCGAAGCCGTAACCGTCAAATCTTCTGACCACACCAATCAGCACTCTGACAAGTCAGGATAGGATGGCCTGGAAACCCCGCAAACGTCAAAGCTACAAAATATGAAAAGCTACCGAACTAGAAGAACTAGAAAACCTCACCGTGCACAAATCCTTTGTCTCAACTTCATTAAATATTATTCATTGTGGTTGCACGTTTCATCTCAGCTATCCCTAATGGACGATTACTTCATTATAAGAAAATACAATGAGCTCAACTTGACGTACACAAACATAAACTCAGACAAAAACACAATGACTTCTGTTTAGTTTCCGTTGTATCATGTGTTGTCTACCTTTTTAGTGATAGCGTTGACAATTCCTATATATGTCACCATTTCAACGCAAATTCACCTGTCAGAATTTTATACCCTAACAGGGTCTCGGCATCGATAATGTACATGTGTTGAAGTTATTATTCACCAGCCAATGCTGGCACTGCCATATAAGCCGATCCTAGGTTTTCTATTAAGTTTTTTTCACACGGAAAATCTGCGCTAGTGCCTGCAACAAGTATGAATGTGTTCATAATCCAGTATTTCTGCTTTCAAAAATCAACCACAGATATCAGTGGAACAATATTTTAAACTGAAATCATCCGATAACACAAGACGTTCTTCACACCCTGTTTACTGTTTTGCTGACAAAGAGACTGAAGTTTGCATGCCGAACAGTCTTTTCCCGACAATAGAATTATACAAAGAACCCTTGGTCTTACGGTTCTTCCAAACCAATATTCTTGAAAAATATTTCCTGCAATTATACTATTAAACAAAAACTAAACTAAAACACCCTTCCGCGACAGTGCTTTCTTTGTAAAACACTTGAACTGGCAGCACATATTAAAATTATAGTTTATATTGTATTGTTTGTAGTCTAGGTCCGCTCCTATTCCGATCATTGTTCATGTAATACTATTTTTAGTGGCGAATTAGTAAATAAAAAACGTCCAAACCAGCCCAACAATTGGTCTATGGAAATATAATGCAACATTTTGATCGTAACTCGTAAGTACCATTGTTAGGTGTGTGACTAAATTTTTCCGCATCTAAGAGTGTTGGCTTCTGTTTGAAAGATGTGCTTGGAAAAAGCAAGGAAGGTCTTAATTGCCCTTAGTCAGCCTTTCCTTTTACTGTTTTTGCCGCATCTCTAAATATTAATATGTCAGTCTAGTTGAGGTTTGAGCCTATCAATTAAGTACATGAGTCATGAGCAATGAGTATAAAAAAATTCTGCATCGGTATAACACAAAAATTCTAGAACAGATTGCAGCTAATTTAATACTGAAATCAAAAACAATATAAAGATTGCAACTGATGACACTTGATAACAAATGTCTCAACAAATTAATTTTAATAAACTCTCTTATATTAAAACAGTTTTTGTATAACAATTTTCGGGATATGGGGTGTTTAGCTGTTTCTTTTTTTGTTAGAATATACTTGACTGTTATATAACTTTATTATATATGTATTTATAATTTTGTTGTACAACAGTAAGGCTCTTAGTCGAAAAACCTTTCAGACCTCTATAGGCGTTTCTTTGTTTACTATATTATTTTGACCGGTGTTGAAAATGGAAATATTTCACTTGACACTTGTAAAAAATGCGAAAACCGGACATTTCTTAAAATGGAAATATTTCAATGACTTTGCACTCAAAACATGGCGTCAATATACCACGCGCTCTTCACTTCCATGAAGATCCACGCCAAATTGTGATGAGAATGCGCGTCACGCGGTACATGGGTATGGCCTCGTAAACGTGACGGGTCAGAAAATTGCCTTCAATGGCAATGTACGCGATATTCTGCATGCCTTTTTTTCAATTTCCAGGAATACAATAATAACAGGATACGTTGAAGTTGTCCTTTTATAGAAGCTTTCTTGTTTATTGGCACGTATTACCATCTCAATCCACACCTGCACGTCTTCAAATTACTAATTTTGAAATTATCATTATGAACGGAGTTGAAAGTTTTAGACATCAATCACAATACTAATAAAGGAAAGTAACACATTATGGTCGATCCAATTCCACGAACCTATAATATTGCAACGAAGGAAGGCATGAAACTGCACATTTAGCGCGTAGTTTAGGGCATATACCCATACCGCATTGTGGGCAAAATTTGACGCAGGTATGCAATGGACGTGCATGCATGCTTGAAATAGTGGGTGAAACTGTTTAATTCAAGAGCGTGGTATCCACGCCATTGCTGTCTGTGGGCGTCAGAAATGTCTGGCTTTTCCGCGCGGTCATTTGCTGCAACCATTTTTAAAGGCGCCTTAGCTCGAAACCAGAGGCAGCTAGAGCTCGAAACGTCAAAGTTCATGCAGCTTGTATTTTTCAGGTCCGTTGGATTTCTCACAATCCACAGCTGCGATCCTAATTAATTTAATTGAATAGCGTTATTAACCTGATCCACGCTCCTAATGCTTATAATTATAAAAAATTAAATTTTGAATTCCTACTATTATTTACGCATATTCATGCTGACTGTTAAAACATAAAACATTCAATCATTAAATCATTCATTCATTTAATTAAAGGCCACAGGTTCCCAGCTTTGCTGGTATGTATAAACCGTTGTAAGATAAGGTTTTCATTCATGCGATCATTCAGTCATTAAATCGTTCATTCATTCATCGTTAAATAATCGAATCATTAAATCATGCTGACTTTTTGCAATTTTTCTCCAAACATCAATTTATTCGTGCAGATTTCATCGCTGAATTCCCATTTCCCACCGAGGTTTTCATTTCATTGTTGAATTTCCACAGACGATTCCGCTCCATTAGGATGACGCATGCGCGCCAGGCACTCCTCACTTGCAGGTCACATGTTAGCAGGTGAAAGGCAAGTGTTAAATGACGTATATCCGATGACGTCGCCGTATTGATAGCTGCATCGTCAGTTGCATCATGACTGGCAAATCCTATTGAAATCCTGATAACTTACATGCAAAAAGTACAAAAATGTTGAATTGCGCTGAAAGCCTGAAACAGCTAGCCCACGTTAATATACACACATGGCAAAATTATTAAAATGTCAGAAATGTCAAACAGTCCGCTGTACTTCGCCTCATAGGCGCAATACTTTTTACTAAAACCAGTTACCAACACATAATTAAAAACACGGTATATCCTCCATATCCTTGCCAATAGTACTTTGGCAAATTTTGGCATATTCAGCATGCAAGCATTATCAAAATTGAAGATGTATATATGTTTGGCCTGTTTTATACGTCAAATTTCGGTCGCGTCGAATGCAAATCAAACAATAGATAATGAAGCTTAATAATAATAATAATAATGACTTTATTTAAACTGGAGAAAGACCGATCAGCATATTTACACGAAATAGCTGGTATTAACCGGTGATGAGGTTTATCATCTCATTATCTATTGTCTTAATTGCATTCGACGCGACCAAAAACATGCCTTAATTTAAAGATCATGTAATATCTTAACATCTTCATATTTTTATAAGCAACATGGCGAAGCTAGCCACAGCAACACGTTATCCCATGGCTATGCAAGTTTTTTAAACAGGCTTTTCTATTGAGGTTTAAATAGAAAAGCCTGTGAAGGTTTCTGGTAGGTCTCCGTAAATCAGATACCATATTGAACGGGGAAAACAAATAATAAAAAAGTATGGATATCCCAAACAGAAACTGCAGTTTCGGACAAATTGCTTGAAACCATGTCTCGAAATCAAAATACAAACATTGACATTTCAAACACCCCCACTGGTTCAATGTTACGAAACAATCACCACACAAGGAGTGTCCCTATATGTCGTGTGTCGTGTGTCGTGGGTTAAAAGTCGTGTGTCGTGGGTAAAGTCGTGGGTAAAGTCGTGGGTAAAGTCGTGGGTCATAAAATGTGCTAAAAACGCATTTTTTCATATTTTTATTTTTAATATTTTTTCGTACTTTTTCCTTTTATGCGCTAGATAAATACAGGAAAATTTAACGCAACAAATCTCCAGTAATAAAATAATTCTTATCTTGCTGTTATCTATAGTATAACAAGTAAATGTTTCCGTTTCGTATAGTCTAATAAGTCTATAAATGTATTGTTTGATGATAAAATGTCCTAAGTTATAGGATATTAAGATATAGGTTTATTAGCTTTGGAATTAGTGTTCAGTAGTCCCTGGTTTGATGATAAAATGTCCTAAGTTATAGGATATTAAGATATAGGTTTATTAGCTTTGGAAGTGTTTAGTAGTCCCTATCATGCATGAACGTCGCGAATAACTATGTCGATTGCATACTGTCTGATGTGAAACATATTGAGCTATAAATTCTACGCTGTATAAGTTGGCCAACGCTCGAGCCTCAAATTTTGCTATTTTATCTCCTGGAACTAGTATATGTTCGTGGCCCTTAAAAGTATAGACAAACAATTTCATGTTTGAATGCTGTTCTTTAGGGTATGTGGCGTTCGGAAACATTCCATAAATTGAAAGAGTAAGAGTATGTGGCGTTCGGAAATATTCCATAAAGTGCTACGATTTGGGATTTCGCGATTGAAAACCGAAATGATATTGATTTGTGCGATGTCGCCATGTCGGGCTATTTGCCAACCGAGCGCGCTAGCCGCTGTTATTTTGACAGAATATGATACCTCTACACTTTTCAGCCGTAATACAAATGCGCGGATTGTAATCACGTATTCATATCGTTTAATTTAGCTTCAAAAACTTATTTTGTTAAATGTAAAATGCGCAGCATGTTGCGTACATTATCAAAGAAAAAAGGTTGACTTTATTAGACTGAAATAAGCAAGATTTCCCGTTACATACATGATTTACTGATACCGAGGCGGCTTTGCATGTGCTCTGCCTTTGGCAACTGACTATGATACCATTGCGCTCCGCGGGAACGAACACGAATAACATGATTTTTATCAAGTTTTTGAAGCTAAATTAAACGATATGTATATGATTACAATGCGCGCTGAAAATTACGGCTGAAAAGTGTAGAGGTATCATATTCTGTCGAAATAAGAGCGGCTAGCGAATGGCAATTAGCCCGACATCGCACAAATCATTTCGGGTTTCAATCGGGAAATCCCAAATCGTAGCAATTTATGGAATATTTCCGAACGCCACATACACATGAAATGTTTCGGTCTATACCTTTAAGGGCCACGAACATATACTAGGTCTAGGAGATAAAATAGCAAAATTTGAGGCTCGAGCGTTGGCCACTATTAATTTGATACTAGGCACTGCAGCGTAAGGGAAGCCTCACATATCGATTTTGTCCACGAGAAACGTCATATGTTCGTTTCTCTGGAGACCCCCCCACCCCCCCTTAGAAACGTCACACATAGTTATCGATATTTTGATCTTATTGTAGTACACATAAGGTAATTTTCTACTATTTTTTTCGGTCGGCTATTGGCGATGCTTCCGCGAGGAATATGTCATCTTCTGCTGACATACTCTTTTTTATTAATATAAGATGAACTCCAAAATTTCCAACGTTTCTCAAAACAACTTTTTTTGCATGAAATATTGATAATTTTAGCGCGTTATATAAGTATGAACTTCAAAATTTCCAACGTTTCTCAAACAACTTTTTTTGCATGAAATATTGATAATTTTAGCGTGTTTTTTTTAAATTTGAGTG